AACCCACGGCGGCCCGCTTAAAGTGAGAAACGCGTAAAGTGAACAACATAACATATGGGATTAATTGAAATAGAGACTGGGCCGACCCCCAAACTCCACTTTTTCAGACACAATACCTACGTTGTAGTGAAAATAACTTCTTAATTTTATGATGGTATGTACACACAATTAATAATTAAGAGAAATATCAATAATATTAGGTTTTTTAACACTTACATTAGTAGAAAAGATGACTGGGCACGCGGGAATGGGGGGTTGGTTCCGAGGCAGGGGGCAGATTAATTATTGGCCCTCACCTGTATCACTTGTATCAATTGTATCACTATCCACCACAGAGGTTTGCAGGGCCTCTTTGTCAAAATCCTCAAAGTCCATATAAGTTCATATCCTCACTATCATTATCACTATCACTGACTTGGGCCAGCTGTGGTGGGTGGCGGGTGAAGAACTCGGTAATGTTTTGATGACTGGGCGACCTTGTGCGCACCCTGCTCGCGCCGCTCTCCGCGTAAAGGGAATGTGAGCATTCCGGTTTCAGCAGGGTACCGCGTAAACGTGGAAACGCGGAATGTGGGACCGCGTAAAGCGAGGGTTGACTATATATATATATATATATATATATATATATATATATATATATATATATATATATATAAATACGTATCTATATATACAGTTGTACCCCACTTAACGCGGTTTCTCATATACGCAGTGCCTCGCCAGAACCGAACTTTCACTTAACGCGGTTATCTACCCATATACGCGCAGAGTGTCCGGCTCGAGACGCTATTTTTAGATTCGCCCCACCCGCCACGCGCTGCCGCCTGCCTCGCCTCTCCCTCCTCCTCCCTCCCTCCCCTCCCGCCTCCCTCCGCCTGGGCAAGCCATACTGTAAGGTTGCACAGTGTGTGTCTTTGTTGCGTTATCACTGACGTCATATGACATATCGGACTGTGATTGGCCATGCATCCCTATCCCCCTCTGCTGCTAGCTGTAATTGGTTTAAAGTAATATGACGTGTCCACCCGGGAGGGAGAGAGAGAGGAAAGAGGACGCTGCCGTGCTAGTTTCATCCCTCCAGGTCACCCCGTGTATACGTGCATCCATTGTTCTGTGAAATGGCTTCTGCCGGACCACCACCGCCACCAGAGAGAAACCTTTCCTTACCTGGACCCAGCCGCCCTAAGCCCAAGAAGACACGCCGTGGCCTAAGCTACGAAGTGAAATACCAGATCATTCAAGATTTGGAGAAAGGATCAGGTCAAGCTGATCTCGCGCGCCAGCATGGCGTCAACGAATCTACGATTCGTACTATTAAGAAGGATGCAGCCAGGATTAAAGAACACATGAAAATCACAAAGTCTGCAGGTGCTTCAATGATCAAGTATTTACAGAACAGGGTGCTGGTAAAGGTGGAAAATTTGCTGGCGAGTTATTTGATTCGTCAGGCAAGACGGAACATGGCGGTCGACACGCGCTCAGTGCAGGAGTACGCACGTGAACTTTACGCAGCAGTGTCACGTAAGCTGGGAATTGCAGAGCCCAAACCCTTCAATGCTTCCTCTGGTTGGCTGCATAGGTTTAAGAAGAGGAACAAGATCACCAACATCAACATTGGTGGTGAGGAAGCGAGTGCTGACCGTGTGGCGGCAAGAGATTTTCCTCCGTTCTTACGTGAGGTTATGGAGGAAGGACAGTACACTGACGACCAGGTGTTTAACATGGACGAATCTGGTCTCTTCTGGAAAAAGCTACCTTCCAAGACCTTCGTTGTCCAGTCTGCCAGCAAGGTAAGGGGTCGGATGTTGCAGAAGGAACGCATCACCGTCCTCTTTACCACCAATGCCTCCGGTACCTGTAAACCAAAGTTATCGGTGATTCACACAGCCCGCAAGCCGCACGCCTACAAGAATATGGACATGAACAAGCTTAATGTCCACTGGCTAACCACACGTAAGGCGTGGATGTCCTCTTCTCTGTCCCTCTTCTGGTTTGACGACTGTTTTGTTCCCGACGTGAAGAAATTCTGCGAGCAACAGAATGTTCCATTCAACATTTTGTTGCTCCTTGACAACGCACCTGGACACTCGCCCCTACTTATGGATCATCACCCCAACGTAAAAGTGGTCTTCCTTCCTCCCAACACTGCGTCATTAATCCAGCCCATGGGCCAGGAGTTGATCTGCAATGTGAAAGCTGCATACTCTGCAAAGAAGTTCAAGCTCCTGAACGATTCTACCAACACCAAGGATGAGTTGCGTAAGCTGGGTGACACCGACAGTGAGAGTAAAAGCGACGAGGACAAGGAACAAGAGGTGGCGACTCAAGAAGTTCTCGTCAAACAGTTTTGGAAGAAGTTTAACGTCAAACAAGCTGTAGACTTCTTGGTGGAGGCATGGGATCAGCTGTCTATTGCTACGATTCGTCACGCATGGAGACATGTGTTGCATGGCATACCAGGTGAGAGGAGGAGTCAACCTGTGACTGGTGAGGTTCAGACTGTTGCAGTAGCAGTGGACCTTGCCAGAGAAGCTGCGCACAATATTACAGCTGAAGGCTTCTCCGAGACTACCAACGAAGACATCCTGGATGTGATCAGAGATCCTGAAGTGACTGCCAACGAGATGTTGGAAGATGAGCACGTCAGTGAAGAGGAAGAAGGTGCGTCATTCTCCGAAGAACACAAGTTAAGTCATAGTGATATTAAGGGTGCCATGGAGTGTGCAGAAAAAATGAAGTCCTTCCTTTCCCACGACAATGACGATGACCGCTATGAAGTCTTCCATACCCGGCTGGTGCAGGCTATGGAGCCGTACATCACGGTGTATCAAGACAACATTAACACTAGCCGTCAAAAAAGCATTACCGAGTTCTTCGCCCGCAACCCACCACAGCCAGCCAGAGCCAGTGATAGTGACTTTGAGGGATTTGTCAGGGAAGCCCTGACAACTGTAAGTGACAGTGATGGTGATGCACCTAGTAATGGTGATTCACCTGAGGGCCAGTAATCTGCCCTCTGCCTCGGAACCAGCCTCCATCCCCGTATGCCGACCCATCTCTTCTACTAACATAAGTGTTCAACATAACTTTTAGTTTTCCTAACCTAACCTTTATTTTTCCTAACTTAACCTTTATTTTTCCTAACCTAACCTCTTCTATTAAGATAAAATTTTTACTACAACATAGTTGTGTGTCGTCAAAAAGTGGAGTTTGGGGGTCAGGCCAGTCTCTACTGGAATTAATCCCATATGTTCTGTTGTTCACTTAATGCGATACCCTGTGGGTTCAATTGACCGCGTTAAGTGGGGTACTACTGTGTGTATATATATATATATATATATATATATATATATATATATATATATATATATATATATATATATATATATATATATATATATATATATATATATATATATATATATATATATATATAGTATATATATGAAGTCCTTAGAAACATTCTTGAATAACAGGAAACTGAGATGGTTAGACATGCAAGAAAAGCAATATTTATGATACATCAAGACAGTAAAGAATAAAATTCCAAAAAGCTTGGGGGACCTGTTCCACTTTCTTTAGGTGAGACTAATGTTAATCTGGGAGACTGAAAAATAAACTTTGGCACAATTAGTTAAATGCTCACCATGTCACTAGTGCAGGGATAAATTGGTCGCCCCTCTGCCACTGATTGACAGTTCAGAAGGTTGACAGCTACTTTGGATAAGTCTTCTTCAGTCAGTTCTGCACATGATGTCTGTAGTCCCAAGATAACCTGAAACAAGATATTTTGTCAACTACCAATATACTGCATATAATATACCCAGTAATTACATACATTTTAATAAAATAATATAAAAATATAACCAGAGCACATAACAGTATACAATTTCTTACAATAATGCCACCTACTAAATTTGCCATTGATACAAGATGACTTGCAATTTCTGAAAGAGAAAGAAATATTCACAAAACCTCACATAAAATATATACATACAATATCTTACCTTATGATGACAAACATCTAACTCAGACAGCTTCAAGGAGGTATATGCTGCAGCTTCCATTAAGAACTTCTCATCTGAAGACTTTATTTCAAATGGTATTTTAGCAGCTAAAACAACTTCTGTCACAACACCTGCATCTTCTGCAATAAAGGGTTGGAAAAAAAAAAGCAAATTACATTACGAAACTGTTCTTTTACTGGAAATACATCATACGGGGGAATAAAAGAAAGTAATTTGAAGTAGCAAATGGGCCATGGTCTCCTCCAGCATGTTCAAGTGATTTAGAACAAACAATTATCGAATAATGTCCGAGTGTTTTAACGGATCACTGACTGGTGCCAAACTTTGGTTTGTCCCTGATAAATTCATTGTTCATGGATTATTTTTATTTTTGCTGTATTTTTAATAATTTCACCACTTATCAGCTAACTAGCCATTCGAGCAGTTGGTCTACCCAGTGTTAGTACAAGAGGAAACTGGAGTGCCAGGAGGAAGCATGTGATGATCGGTAGAGTCACAAGGGATACCATCCTTCACACAGTGTTCTGGTCAAGCAGGACTCGAACCCTTGACACATTCGTGAGAGATGGTTTGCGTTCATGTAAACGTGCCGTGAAGGCTTCTGCAAAAAACATTTCACGTGATGAACTTTGCAACTAGGGCAGTGAACACTTAAGTCACCAAGGTTACCTTGGCGAAGAGTCTATTCTTATCAGTGCCACAATACATCAGAAATTGAGGAAAACCTAACGGAAAAGTAACAGTTGCCTTAGTTCACCAGAGTTAAGTGTAAGAGTAGAAAACAGAGCAATAAACCAATGATACTCATTAGTGGTCCTACTCGGACCACTTAGGTTAACGAACACATTTTACACATTTATTTTTGCATGGCTGATAAAAGTACAAAAGTACAAACATTACTGATAAACAGTCATATAAAAGTACAAAAGTACAATGATAAAAATCAACATAAAAGTACAAACATTACTGATAAAGTCACATGATGTCAAACGGCTCGTAGCAAATCTTTAACAGTTCTTCATCCACTACTGAATTTGTCCCACAGTTTGAAGAGCTGTTCTTGGTGATGTACATAATTGGCCCGTTGTTTTCGTAGCACTTTACTAATGGACAAGAGCCGCACCTGGAGTGTCACTAGTTTTGCTTCATTATGGAGTAACTTGATTAACAAATAAAAGTTAAGTTGTCCTTTTTCTTGCTTTCAAGTTAAGGCAATTATGCCACCCTTCACAGTCATTACTGTATTTGTGCCGACACACCTTTTAAATACACTCCAAGCAGATGGGGTCCAGATGTCATTCCTGAACCTCTAGTCAGCTACTTGTTTGAAGTGTGCAAGGTGGGCCATGCATACCAAGCACTGGTCAGCCATGGTCAGGACTCAGAATGTGACTGATCCTGTAATCTAACAACAACATGAAGTGACTTTACACTTTATAAACAGACAGGAAACTCCTTTGTTACGAATGTGAATCATGGTTCATTGACCAAGTTCTACTAACACAAACGCATAAAATTCGTTCTTCATACCGATTGTGCCCTCGGTATTCACTCATTCAAACTTCATATTTCAATGAACCAAAAGAGACATAAAACAAATCTCAAACTCATTCCTCAACCACTAGTCAGCTACTTGTTTTAAGTGTGCAAGATGGGCCGAGTTAGAAATGCGTGGGCCAAGTTGGTTATTTAAGATGGGTCGAGTTGTAAGTACACCGCAATAGTAACACCTAAAAGTTTGTATACCTAGAAGCTGTATAAGAATCATAATTCAGGAAGACAGTTCCCTCTCCCTAGAGAGACGAGTCGCATAACAGGCATTAGCTAAGCTGAAGCATTCATAATTCCCACCGCAGCAAGGCCAAGCATTGGCCAATGTTGCCATATTTAAACCATACAAGAACAAGATAGTTAAGGCAATATAAAACAACAACAAAAATTACTACTGTAGAAGCCTCTATGGTTCCTGCAATGAGCTCTCAAGCAACTAAGCCGGGGTCCTTATATGCCAAAACTGCAAGATAGATTACCACAAGGGATGCTTATGAGTGACTGAGGATCTATTTGAAGCCCTCAAATGCATCTCAGCTTTAGACAATAAACCTGTCATGTTTCTTTGCAGAGAATATATGACACAAGTTAAGGAGGTATTAAAGCCTGTAGAGGAGCATGAAACCACGACAGATAAGTTAGATAACTACAAGCTTGCCAAGTTATCATGCAGAACGAATATAAGAATATACTTTTTCACAGTGTGGTAGAAACGGTCTACCAGCCCAAGCTGTGGAATCAAGAACAGAACAGTACTGGGCTTCAAAATAGACCTCGACAAAATTATTAAGAACAATGGAGGGATCCTACACAGGGAGCTGGCCTCCTTCCCTCAGTATGGCCACCTCTAATTAATGGCCATTATGTAAGATTTCTCTTGTTGCCACCCGAAGAATTTTGAGAATTTTATGGATGTACTCAATAGTCTAAACAATTCTAAGACACTTTTCTTCTATACTGTAATGCTTCTCTGGCAAATAACCTAACCTCCTAACCGAGTGTCTTAGTGTTGCAACCCAAAAAATTCTAAAAACTCTTTGGCTGGCAACAAGTGAAATAATAACACATACCAAAAGGTAAATAAGATAGCACATTACAGCTGTAGCACCAACACCCTCCATTACCATGCTATATAATACATGACCCAACTCAGAAAAATAGCATTTCCTCAATAGGGGAATATTACATTAGGTTAAATACTGACATTAAATAACCACTCAGAGGGGGGAGGGGGTAGGTCAGGCTATGCTAGGTTAAATAAGGAAAACATTGGTATTTTGTTTTTTCTCCAGAAATAAACTATCTCCAATAATAAAAACAAAAACAGCAAAATTCATGCAGGAAAAAAAATGTGTTTGCTGGCGAAATCGCTCACAGCACTTAAGTAAACGTTTGCCAATTTTAGACATGGACTTTACTTACATTCAGTAATGAAACATCAAAACAGTAAACACATTAATTCTGGGAATCATAAACACCAAATAAACTTACCATTTGTATTCCCAAAGGCAGTGTCTGAGCTGATGACAATGGGCTGTTTCTCCTTCGTTTTAGCTTTAAATAACCAAGTGAACAACCCTCCATGGCACAAGTTAACAAAAAATAACAATAAGATTATCTCCAATATTTTCATGGTAGATATGAGGAAATCCAGAACATGAGACGGTGAAAAATACGAGTAGAAGCAGAGACACCAGCGGGAGGAACCGTCAGCTGTTTTGTTTTGAAGCGGGGTAGTTAAGGCACCCTATTG